AGCACTCGGTAGCCACTGTGAGCTCCGGGAGTCTCGAGGGTTGGACGTCTGAAAATCTCTCAGCGTGTCCAGAAACTCTGGGAAGCAGAAACCATTGAGCCATTATTTCCAGATCGAATGAGCTTTGCACTTTCCCCCAGGCCGGCTGGACCAAGACTGGACTGGTTTCCTCTGCTGTCTCCCTCCCTCCCTGTACCCGCTTCCCAGCGCTCTTAAGATCTGTACACACATTAGCTCATCTCATCCTCCCAACAGCCCCATGAGGCGGGGACCAGTTTATCAGTAAAGAAAGGGAGGCACAGAGAGGTAAAGCGACTTGCCCAAGGTTACTCAGCCATCAAGCAGCAGGGCCAGGACTTGAACCCAGGACGCCTGCTCCAGCACCCGTGCTTGTAACCAGCACACGTGACTCCTCACTGCAGACAAGTCGTTGACTTTGGGGCACAGGACCTTCCCAGAAGGGGTTGGGGTGAGCCTTACAGCCCTAAGGTATACTTGTTTGTAACCCTAAAAATATTTATTAGAAAAGAAATACATACTTATTATTTAAATAATATGTCTAGGGATTAGAAAAAAAGAGTTCCCGCAGGCACCCCATTAACCTCTGGTAACTGCTTATTTATAGCTCTTCCAGGCCTTTTTTTCCCCCGGGCAACACACATAAAAATTAAAAGGGAGATTGTGTATACACCCTGCTCTGAAATTTTTTTTCTCTAAAAAATATTTCATAGTTCATGAAATAAGATGAAGAGGTTTGCTGGTTCCTTGGGGATTGGGCTTTCGTGTGGATAACTTGCTCATCGCCGTGCATGTACCCACCGTAACTCCTGATGGGAGGATGAGGCTTAAACCTAGCAGGGTGACGGTATCCATGGCCCATGGCTTTGAGCGCCTGCTAAATGCGAGGCACTGACTCAGATGCTTTCCCTGGATAAGCTCATTCACTTCCTACAGGGTCCCTGAGGAGGGGGTACTTTTGTGGACCCTGTTTACATATGTGGGAACTGAGACTCAGAGAAATAGATTAACCACCCCAAGGTCCAACAGATAAGATCTGAAACTGTGTCTGACTCTTGAATTTCCCTGGAAGATCAGTAGAGGGTGAGACTGGGAGAGTAGGGCTAGAATCTTAAAAAGAAAAATTGTATATATATGTATAACACACACACATATATAAATACAAATATGTACGTGTATACATGTAAGTGATATTAATAATAAACAAGATATTGCACATTTAAAAGCCAGAAGAGCAGTACTCTGCCATCCTTTTATCGCTGGGTTCCATGACTCCATGGGGTCAGCAGCCAACTGGTGGACGACCCCTCCGTCCCTCCCACGACAGGTGGCTGGCTGTCCTCTCTCTTTAATCCAGTCTGTTTGTGTGCTGCCGCACGCCGATCGATTCCTGCCTCAGTAATTTTCACCGGCAGGAGTGAGCCTCCAGGACGCAGCCTTATGCTTGCGGCTCCTGGAGGACCTGCGACCTCCTGCCTCCGAGGGGCTCCCAGCCTCTGAGTCCCCCCACTGCCATGCGGGGTTGGCCAGTGTGGTCCTCAGGGATGGCGTGGCCACAGCCCACCCATTTAGGATAAGGGTTTGGAAAGGGTCCCAGAGCATCGACAGACCTGCGTCCACCTCCCAGCTGTACCTGGAACAGGTGTTGGATTTGGGGCAAATCACATCCCCTCTCAGAGCCTTGGTTCCCTCTCTGTAAGTGGGAGGAACCCTAGAGATCTCATGCGGGGCTGTGAGGCATGGATGGGGTAAGATTACTTAAAGGATGGAGGCGGTGTCTGGGGTATGGTGGTGTGTGTGCTGGGTACAGCCGCTGGCGCAAAGAGCTGAACTCTGGAGCCGAGGGCAGGGTGAGTGGCCATCAGAAGCCTGGAATCACTCACTGGGGCTGGGCTGGTGACACCGCCTGAGGTTGCAGACACTCGACCTTTCCCAGAGCACCCATCCCAGCTCATCTAGTAGGTCAGCGACCCTTGGGCACTAAGTCAGCCCAAGGGGATGCCCCAGAAGCTTCTCAGTCCAGCTGAGGTTCTCTCCCAGTTCTGCGAGGGGATTTTTGTGCTGGTTTTCCCTCCCTTTCATCCATCCAGCCCTTCCTTCCTCCATTCTTCTCTCCCTCCCTCTCTCTTCCTCTCCCTTCCTTCCTTCCTTCCTTCCTTTTTTTCCCCCTACTTTTCATAATAAGATTAGAGAAACTTCAAGAAATAGCGAAAATAATATTAAGAAATTACTATCATGGGACTTCCCTGGCGGTCCAGCGGTTAAGACTCCACACTTCCACTGCAGGGGGCATGGGTTCAATCCCCGGTTGGGGAACTAAGATCCCGTGTGCCGCGCTGTGTGGCCAAAACATTTTTTTTAATTAAAAAAAAAAAAAGAGAGAGAAAAGAAATTACTATCATGGAAAACCCCATAGCCAGAAGCACCCATTGTAAACATTCTGGTATGTTCCCTTTCAGATTTTTTCTGTTTACACACTAACAGCTTATTTCTTAATGTGTTTGTTTTGTTTTTTGTTTTTGTTTCTATAAAAAAAAGGGATCAGACGCTCTGCATCGTTCGGTTCACTTTTTTTTTTCATTTTTTTTTTTTTCAATCGACAACAGGTTGTGAGTGTCTTTCCGACATTTCCAATGCCTGACATAGCCACACCGTCATTTCTGTGGCTCCACGCTATTCCACTGTGTGGCCAGACCATCGTTTCTTTACCCAGCTGACTGACATCTGGGTTGTTTCCTTTTTTTCTTTTGCTCTCGTAAACAACGCAGCAAAGAACATCTTTGCACAAACCCGTGTGCTTTCCCCACACTTTTCTTAGGTAACTTCCTTTTATCAGAGTAGCCACAGCTACCAAATCGACTTCTTTCTGGGATGCACAGTGTACCTTTCTCCTGTTGATACCCTGCCCCCTAGGGCTGAGAATAAAATCCTCGCCCACGTACCGGGCAGTCCACACCTATCACCACCCCACCCGCTTCTCCACCCTCCTGGTGCATCACCCTCCTCGTCACAGCAGTGCCTGTCACTAGCCTTCTCTCTGTTCCTGGATACCAAGATCTCGCCTCAGGGCCGTTGCACCTGCCGGTATCCAACCCCGGACCCTCCCAGCTCCTATACCTCCCATGGCTGGGGCCGCACGTCGTTCAGACCTACATACAAATGCCACCTGCCCGAGGAAGCGTCCTCCTGCTGTTGGGTCTCCAGTAGCCCTCCTCCCCGATCTAATCTGATCCCGTCACCCTGTGCTGTTTTCCTCCCAGGACCCACCACTCTCTGAAATTATTGTATTTCTCACACATATTTAGCTGTTGATCTCCCACCCCCCAGACTGTATAAGCTCCATGAAGGCAAGAATCCCATCGGTCTGGTTAACCCTGTGTCCCTGACACCCAACGTGATGCCTGTACATAGTAGGTCTTCAGTAAACACTGGTTGAATGACAGACAAAACGCTGAGGTCGGCTCTTTGTTCAGAACTGCTTGTAGGAGTTTTAATGCCCATTACAAAAATTGTTCAATATATTTTAGAAAATTGATCCAGTACCTTTTGTGAAAATTGTCCAGAAATGCTGTGCCAATTTACATTCCTTTGCGTATACCTGTGGGAGCTACAAACTAGGCTAAAAAGAGTCAGAGGGCAAGATTTAGAGAAGGAGATTATCTTATAATTTATCCGATCACACTTGTTTTTCATCAGACACACACAACCGGCAACTTTCCTAGCAGAACTAGAGCTCAGTAAATGTTTGAAGCTTGAACAATAGGGACCCCCCCACCCCTTGCCTGAAGCAGTGGAAGGGACCACAGCTGGTGTCGCATGATACCTAGTCGGCCAGCTGTGTGATGATGTGTTGAGAAATTCACACCCGGTTCAGCGGGGCCTGCTCGTGCCTTCCGGGTGGGCCGGTTGTTCAATGGGGATGCTTGGTAGGACTGGGCAGGACCTCCAGGAACCTTAGGGTACCTGCCTGGACGACAGCCTGAGTGGCCCCTTGTCCCTGGGTTGTCGGGGGGCCCTGTGCCTGGAGGCACCCACTGCCCCGTCTGTAGAATTGCTGGTAGTGAGTCAGCATCACAGAGCCTGGCAATGGTCCCCAGTGTGGCTTACCCACCACGTGGAACAGCTGAGTGCCTCGTAGCTCCGGGTGATTCTCCCAGACTAGTCATTTGGGCAGAGGATCCAGGGAAATCCTGTAGCCCAGAGGCCTGAGGAGGGCCCTGGAATCTGAGCTTTCGAGAAACGAGCAGGGCAGCCGGGGTCACTCCACAACTGGATTGTGGAGATGATTGCACAAGCCCCGCCCCCCCCCAATCACTAAAAATCATTGAATTGTACACTTCAGAAGTGTGAATTTCATGGCATGTTATATCTTAGTGAAGTTATTATTTGTTTGTTTGTTTGTTGTTTTATAAAGGCGTTCAGTTAGCTAAAGGATTTAGCACCTATCTTGAGAGGGTGGTTTTTACTGGCCGTGTGACCTTGCAGAAACTTAATTTCTCCTTTGCCTGCAAAATAGGGATACCAATGGCTCTTCATCGGAAGGAGGTAAAGGCGTATAGAAAATCCTTTGCACAATATCTGAGCCCAGTTGGATCGTGCGCCCATTTTAGTAACAGAGCACGTGCATTATTGTTATAGTGCCATCCCATTCATCGGTCAAGCAGGTGGCCACTCTCTCGGTTGACAGGTGGTACCAAAAACCAGACAGAAGTCTTGGAGGCTGGGTTCAGTTCAGGCAGACGGGGGCCAGCAAATTCCAAGTTAACAACCCTGACCTCAGTTGAGACCCAGGCACGTCTGCAGAGGCAAAGGGCTCTGCCAGCTGCTCCCGGCTGGGGCATATGCTCTGCTCCCAACAGCTTCGCGAACTGTCCCTCGGCCATGCTTTTTCCACCGCGGGGACGTGGGGACACCCGGTTCCCCCCCACCCCGCTCCATCCCTGCAGATCTTTCGGTAACATGTGCTCTCCCTTCTTTTTCAGCTTGAGGACCCCTCGAGACGGAAAGGCCTTCCGGATCTTTGCTGTCAGGCCGTGAGCTTGCAGGGTCAGGGAGAAGGGGGCGTCTTCAAGAGGGCTTCGGGGGTTCGCTTTTTATTTTTATTTTGTCATTTGGGGGGTGGGCTGGGGATAGGGAGAGTCAGGAAACTTCCTTTGATTGGCGTTGCGTCCCATCCGCCGTGCCTTGGTCTCAGCTCCACACAGGGGAGCGTCCTTGGGGTCCTGAGCAGACAGCCGGTGACCATCCTGCTGAGGCCCGGGGGTCTCCCCCTGGGAGGTGTTCTTTTGTGGATGGAGAGAGGATTCCAAAGGATTTGGAGCTGACTCTGCGAGGCATTCAGGGGTGTGGGAAGGGGCGTACTGAGAACGCTCAGGGGGGAGTTTCAGGGATGGAGTAGAAGGTAGCTATTTAAAACATTAAAAAGCACAGGCCGTCCCTACCAATGGAGAAAAATGGGTTTCATGTTTGCTGGTCAGACAAACGGGCCGGAACAAGGGGACTCTGCCCTGGCACCTGTCCTCTTCCCGTCCTGCTCTGTGCAGGCTGGTTCTATACACAGCAGTGCTGGTTTACTTCGAGTTCAGCCGTAACTCCAGAGATGTATCTTGTCTTGGTCCTTCCCTTCGTCCACGTGGCCCATCTGTTTGCTGCCGTGACCTTTGGTCTCACTGAGGACTAATGAACCAGGACCCTTTCTTGATCCCCTCCCTGCTGTCTGGTTCACGCCCTGCCCAGACTGGTTTCTGTGTCTCCCGCCAGGGTCTTTGCTTGGCAAACAATTCTGTTTGAAGCCCACTTTTTTCTTTCCAACTCCTTGTCTCTGTGAGTTCCACTGAGATGTCTAAGAACAGCCAAAGAAGGGCTGTTTTGTTGCTGCCTTTAAAAAAACGGCACCGAATTGTGCAGATTTCCCATCCGTCGGATGACCTATTTTTTAGCCATGAGAGGAATGGCTTCATTCCTCAGTACATTCCTCGCTGAGGTTAGCAGCTCTGGGAAGACGGACAGCCTGCAGTTATGAAACCGTCCTGTGGCATAACAACAAGAGACGGTAACACACTAGAAGGATTTCTCTTCCTATTTTTGTGAAACACTTCTTGCCAAATGTTCCTGAGGCTCCGAGGAGTGCGGTGCCCTCTGGCTGCCATCGCTGTACAAAGCTCCCTCAGCAGCCTAGACCCAAAACCCACAGTGAAATAAAATACCCTTTTGTAAATAGCATTTCTTTGCAGAAGGTAAAATTCCACCCTCCTGCACCAGTCTGGCCAGTAGATCACTTTCGTGAATGCTGATTTCAAAGTTGATTTCACTCTCCATCAGAATATTTCCAAGGCAAAAGAACTATAGCAGAAAGTTTAAAACGAACACACAAACAAACAAAACCTAACATAGTCTGGACAAGGAACTCCACCTGGGGAACCAAGTTGGTGTGTTGTTTCAGGGCAACCCTAATTAGTGAAGAAACAGAAGGTAAATAGCTTCCCCCCCACCCCACCCCCGAAGGAGTTTGTAAAAGTAATGAAACTCTTAGCTTGACAGAGCTGAAACGAGCCGACTGTGTTTTTGCTTCGTGCATTGTGGGCTTGTTATAATGCGTAAGTACTGACTGTTCGACACCAAATGTCAGTGCGGAAGAATTTGGTCAGACTGTCAGATACCGCGTCTAGTTCCTGCCAAAGATCTGAGTCCTTGGAACCCTCTGGATGCTAGGTATTATGCTGTCGGACTTGCGCTTGTCACCAGGCTCTTATATGTCTGTGGCCACGTCCAGACTGCAAGCTTGGGTTTTTAGAATTAGTGACGGTCCCGGGGAATTTCAGCAGTTTTGCTTTGAAGCATCCTGCCGGAGGGAGAATCTGAAACGTCCAATGTGAGTGGACTGCTCTCATTTTGAAATAAAATTCCCGAGTTCCTGAATGCCTCATTAACCGGCCGTCTAACGGGCTAGAAACTCCTCGCCCAGAACCAGACCTTGCTGTCTTTTTCACCTTCACAAACATTTTGAAACTGGAACCATTTATCTTCCGGAAATGGACACAGTGCTACAAAGTATAAGACCTTGTAATCAGGGACCCCCTTCTAATTTAGCGTGTTTAAAGGGCCATCGTGTCCTCAGCACTAAACCCATAAAACCATGATAACTCCCGCCAACAGGGTTACTGGGCCCCCCAAAATGAAAAATTTTGGTGTCCTGATTGATTTGTTCCGCATCGTGTTCTGATTTTTCATACTGTCTGTAGGCTCACTCAGCCCGCAGCTTACGTGTGTGCTTTTTTCTATGAAAAATGATGTATGTTACTACTTTCTATGTACAAAAGTTTATTGTAAATGTTGTGTGTGCTTCGCATGAACAGGGACCACGTTGCTGTCGTTTCAATAAAACTGGTTTGATTTCTAAAACGTTTCTGGGACGTATCTTTTACGGACACATCTCAACAGTCTGTGGAATAAAACAATGAAAACCTCCTTGCGGGCTCGTTACTTTTTTCTACGCCACTCCTCCCAGGAACGTGGCGCCCGGGGCGTCCAGATGCTAATTGTTGCAGCGTTTTCACCTGAGATGTGCGTGAATCACGTGGGGCGGGGGACGGGGCTTGTCGAAACGCAGGTTCCGGGTCCGGCAGGTCTGGGCTGTGGGGCCTGAGGGGCTGCAGTTTCCACGGGCTCCTGGTGGCGCTGAGACTGCTGACCTCCAAATCACACTCTGCGTGGTGAGTACGACAGGCCTAGCCTCATTCCAGCACTGACCTAGTCAGGTTGGGCTGCCGTGACAAAGCACCGCAGGCGGGGTAGCTCACACCACAGAGATTTATTTCCCCACACTTCCAGAGGCTGGCAGTCCAAGATCAAGGGGCCGCAGGGCTGCTTTCTCCTGAGGCCTCTCTCCTTGGCTTGCAGATGGCCACCTTTTCAGTGTGTCCTCTTCTTTGTTCGAGCATCCCTGGTGTCTCTTCCTCGTCTTATAAGGACACGGGTCCTATAGGATCAGGGCCTTATGCGGTAGACGCCATTTAACTTTAATTATCTCCTTAAAAGGCTCCATCTCCAAATACGGTCATATCAGGCGTTAAGGCTTCAACATATGCATTTGGGGAGGGGGGAACCCAATTCAGTCCTTAACAGTTACCTTCTTCCCAGGCATCAGCCCCTTTTTGTCCAGTTGAGTCGTGTGTCCCCCTGTGTCCAAATGCTGTCACCTACAAGCGACTTTGGGAGCTCCTGGCTGACTTTCTTCCCGCCATCCCACCCTCCGCCTTTGCTTTCATGGTCCTTCTATTTATAACAAGTGCTTCTCGTTTTCATTGATGGCGGGGTTAGCTTTCCTTTTTTTTTTTTAAGTTTTTTCAATTTTTTGGCTGCGCATGTGGCATGCGGGATCTTAGTTCCCCATCAGGGATCGAACCGGTGCCCCCTGCAGTGGAAGCTCAGAGTCCTAACCGCTAGACCACCATGGGATTCCCAGCTTTACTTTTTTTTTTTTTGCGGTACGCAGGGCTCTCACTGCCGTGGCCTCTCCCGTTGCGGAGCACAGGCTCCGGACGCGCAGGCTCAGCGGCCATGGCTCGCGGGCACAGCCGCTCCGTGGCATGTGGGATCTTCCCGGACCGGGGCACGAACCCGCGTCCCCTGCATCGGCAGGCGGATTCTCAACCACCGCGCCACCAGGGAAGCTCTCCCAGCTTTCCTTTTTAATAAGTATACCTAAGGCTTTTTAAATGTTGATTTTAAAATATCACATAAGCAGGTGTGCAGGTGGGCCGCAAACCCACGAAGATGGGGTAATAGTGACTGGATGTTTGGGAAATACTGGTTTCTGACGGATGCATTGTCAAGGCCATAGAAATGCCCTCCCCAGCCCCACTGACAGCAACCCCAGGGCGTTGGGAGCCTTCCTTCCGGCTTTCCTCCCGCAGAATCTGCAGCCTTCCTTGGTGTGCCTCTTTCTCCGGTTTCTGGAAGTTCTTCTGAGCTCCCAGGATGCCACAATCCTGGGCCCCAAACTTCTGGGCCGAAACCTCCAACATACAAACGATGTACTGGCAGCTGAGGAGGGAGCTGGCCCTTCTTGCAGAATCCGTCTGAGACGCAGCAAAGGTCTGCAGGAGTGCTGTAAGCAGGCTGAATGCCAGCACCACACTGCTTGGGACGCCCCCGACAGAGGGGTCTCCAGCACAAGGTGACACAGGGACAGAGCACGGACTTGGGAGTCCCTGGGTAGCTCCACCTCTTACCAATCGAGGGACCTCAGACAAGTCACTCTTGCCTCTTTGGACCTCAGGCTGCTCATCTAGGAAATGGGAATTTCTCACAGCATCCTCACCGCAGTGCAGAGATTACAGGGGAGCTGTAGGCTGAAAGGTGCTTGACTAATAATGGCAACTCTGTGTACTGGTTGGCATGTTTTGGGGCTGCAGATAACAGAGACCCCATCTAACAGCCCCGGGACTTGTCAGAAAGACAGATTCTCAGGCCCCAGCCTAAACCCAGTGAGTCAGACCTCTGGGAGGTTAACAAGCCCTCAGGGTGATTATGCTGCTGGTTCAGTTGCAGAATCATTGCTCAGAAAATCGTTCAGATATCTTATGTGAGAAGTCAGGAGGGAGATGATTCGGGGACAGCAGCTCAGAGATGTCGGGACACCTGGTCAGCATCCCTGCAAACCTCGCCCAGTCCTCTGTGGTCAGGACGGCCACCGGCCGCAAACTGTCCCCACACTGAGTCTGAGATGGGACGAAGGGATGAGGGGGCCGGTCCTCCTCACAGTATTCTCTCTTTTCTCAGGGAAGAAAATCTTTCCCAGGATCACCCAGCAGACTTGTTTCTAAATCCCTTTCATCACTGATAGGTCACGTGCCCATTCCTAGGTTTATCACAAGGAATCGTGATAGAACAGGAGGGTTTAGAGTAAAGAGAGGCTGACCGGGGGCCATGAAGGGGTCATGTGGTGTAAGAGTTAAGAGCTAGGTCTCAGACATGCCGGAGTTTGACTCCCACATCAGCTCTTCACCAGCTGTGTGACACCGGGCCGGTCGCTCAACCTCTCTGAGCATCAGTGGCCTCCTCCGTTAAAGGGAAATAATAACAGTGTCTACTCCAAGGGGTGGTTATGCAGATTAAGTGAGGTCGAACTTGAGACGTGCTTAGCCCTTGGTGGGCACACACAGCTGCCACATTTGATCACTATATTGCTTTGCAGCATGGAACTAGTGGCAGTGGTTACATGCCACAGGGAGACAGATTTCTACCAAATACAATAAAGAAGATTCAAATTGGTGGAACTTCCAAAGATGAAATGGCCCTTGTGAAGAGGGAGTGAGCTTCTCATCCTTGGAAGAAAACAAGCAGAAGCTGGAAGATCCTCAGACTCGATCTACTTTAAATCCTCTTTCCTGATTCTGGCTCCCAGCAGAGACCTGCCTTTCCCTCCTCGGCCCTGCCCAGAGGGCCCTGGGGACCCACTGAAGGGGTGACATGAGCTATGGGATCCTGGCTCCTCAAACCATGGCCGCTTCATTCTATAAAGGAAACACGAAAACCCTACAGCTTTTTAGGTGGTCTTGAAACCGTTATGTCTTACAGGGTTCAATTTCGTTTGTTTGTTTTACCCATTTTCCTTCCAGTTTTTCACACCAAACCAAAACCTGTCCTAGACGACCACTGGGCCTTAAAAAGTCTTTTAGCCCCTTAAAAAAATAAATTTGTTGCCAAAGGCCCAGGTGTTGAAAACCTCATGGCATTCCTTTGACTCTTTCATCTTGGCCAACTAAACTGGTAGCAGCCTTCGCCCAAGGACCAATTCTTCTGTCAGTGCCTGGCCTGCCTCCGAGGAGGGCAGAAGGCCTCCCTGTGGGCCCTGGCTGCCACCACGCTGGACAGGGATGGGCTGGCTCATCAGGCAGCAGGCTCCCAGCTCACCTGCTCTCACCTTCTTACACCAAACATGGCTGTGGTCCCAAGGATATTTCCTCTCCATCCTGCTGTCACTAGCCCAGGCCCACTGCCCCCACCCCTACCTGACCCAGGAAGATGGCAAAGGAACTCAACCTGTGCCAAGTGCCACTATGTGCCAGGACTGAATGGGCACCAGACACATGCTGTCTCATCTAATAAGCCCATGTCTCCATCAACAACTTGCTAATTCAATATACTTGTCAAATATAATAATTCAAATCCTAATTAGATTTTCTTTGTCAAAATGTCAGCTAGGAATGTGTTGGGCTGCATGTAACAGAGACCCAACCACAGTGGAAGGTAGGAGGGTGAGGATGCTGTGAGAAATTCCCATTTCCTAGATGAGCAGGGTGCAGTGCTTGGGAAGTTCTCAAGGACCAGGTTCCTTCCCACTTACTGCTCTGCCATCCACAGCACATGGCATGTGTCCTTGTGGTTGAAAGATGACTGCTTTGGACTTCTCTGGTGGCTCAGTGGTTAAGAATCTGCCTGCCAGTGCAGGGGACACAGGTTCGAGCTCTGGCCCAGGAAGATCCCACATGCCACAGAGCAACTAAGCCCATGAGCCACAACTATGGAACCTGTGTGCCACAACTACTGAAGCCGGTGTGCCTAGAGCCTATGTTCTGCAACGAGAGAAGCCACCACAATGAGAAGCCCACGCATGCAACAAAGAGTAGCCCCCCGCTCGCCACAACTAGAGAAAGCCCACGTGCATCAACAAAGACCCAATGCAGCCAAAAATAAATAAATTAATTAATTTATCAGTTAATTTTTAAAAAAAGAAAGGTGACTGGTTCACCTCCAGCAAGTCATAGACATTCCAGAAAGGAAGAGACATTTCAAAAGGCAGAAGCCATATGGCAGTTGATTTTGCCCCCTTTTATTATAGATATTTGTATTTTTCAATTCTAGAATGTCCAGTTGGTTCTTTTTCTAATTTTCTAATTCTTGGTGAAATTTCTCATTTTTTCATTTATTTTGAATGTATTTTTCTCTATGACTTCAACAGAGATATAGATCAGCTAATCCGTGTATCTGGACCAGTCACCATTCACTGTCTTTTCTCTTGGACAGGGGTTGGCATACTTAAAGCATCCAATTGATAAATATTTTAGAGCTGTGAGCAGTAGCATCTCTGTCACGATTTAACTTTGTGGTTGTGGTGAGAGCAGCCATAGGCGATATGTAAGTGGACGAACATGACTGTGTTCCAGTAAAACTTCATTTTTAAAAGTAAACCAAAAAAAAAAAAAGAAAGAAAGAAAAAGCAGACGGCCGTCCCCTGGGCCATAGTGTGCTGACCTCTTCTCTTGAGGATGGACACATTTTTTGGTTTGTTTATTTCTTTGTATGTCTAGTAATTTTAGATGGTATCTTGGACATTGTCAGTAAGGCATCCTGGCGATTCTAGATTGTTACATTTTGTTTGAGCAGGGAATTAACTTGTCTGGACTCAAACTCTACTCCACTGCAGTGGCCTGTAACTGAAATCACTCTCGGTTCTGTTGGCCTTTGCTGAGCTGCTGGGAGTCGGCTGTGCGTATGCATGGTTCGGGGGTCAGCCAGAGACCTGGGCAGAGCTTGTACCCAGAATTTGGCATTCCTCTTCTAAACTCTCTCCTTTCTGGAGGTTCCCTTCTCACTTTCCAGCTGCTGCATCCCCTGGTTCTTCAAGACGTGAGGCTTCTTTTAGACGTTTAGCCACTCGTATGGGATGCTGACTAGGGCTGTGTTCAGGCAAAAAGTTGAAAACTACTGGAGACTCACACAGTGCAATCCCCTTCCTCCAAGCGCTGACTCCCATGCAGTTTCTGCCTGCCTTTGCTTCTCCCAATTACCATCAGAGACTCGTATTTTATATTTTGTCTGGAGTTGATGGTTGCCACGTATAGAATGGTTGGTCTGACTGTAGCTACTCTGCCATCGCTGGGAGAGTAGAACCCAAGTCTAACTCACCCAGAAAAACAATGGAAGCATAGCTTTCCCAGAAGTTGCAGCCGGTAAATTTCCACTGACAACGTGTTGGTCCGAATTGGGTCCCACAGCCATTCCTAGCTGCAAGGATGTTGGGAGAGATGCCTGTTTTTTCCTGAGCACGTTGCAAATCCAACTGTAAAGCGGGTCCTATGAAGAAAAATGGGAGAAGGGACCTTGGGTAGTTAAGGTGCAGCTCCCTTGGGAACTTCCACAGGTGTAGTTTCTTAGAGCTGCTGTAACAAATGACCACAAGTCCCGTGACTTAAACAACAGAAATGTGTTCTCTCACAGTTCTGGAAGCCAGAAGTCTGAAATCAAGGTGTGGGCAGGGCCACGCTCTCTCTGAAGATTCCAGGGGAGTGTCCTTCCTGCCTCTTCCAGCTTCTGGGGGCCCCAGGCATCCCTTGGCTTATGACCGCATCCCTCCAATCACTCTGCCCCAGCTTACGTGGCCATCTCAAGATCCTTAACTAATTGCATCTGCAAAGATCCCAATTTGAAACAAGGTCACGTTCTGAGGTTCCAGGAAGGCATGAATTGGGGAGGGATACTGCTCAACCCAATCTAACAGGTAGACACCAGTCCTGCAGGCTGAGCAGTGGTAGCTGGTTGCCCACGTGATAGCTTATCTCCCTGGACACTTGGATTTGCCACCATTCACTCTTTGGGGTCTTTGCCTCAGGCCCTCTGTAGCTCACTGTTGGGGGCAGCACTCTGGGAATCAGTGAGTGATGTGGCTCTAGTCTCCAGTCTGTGCCGTGTCCCATTTTCCCTTTTCAGCCCCTCATAGTTAGAATCTTTAGATCTTCCCAATATGACACTTTTGAGGGGGTGGGAAAAGAATCTGGAGCCAGTGGGCCTGGGTTCAAATCCCAGCTCTACTCCTTATACTCTGTGAAACCTTGGATGGGTTACTCAGCCTCTCTGTGCATCAGTTTCCTCATATATAAAATGGGAACAGTAATAGCAGCTACTTTGTTTTTTTTTAAATTTATTTTATTGAAGTGTAGTTGATTTACAATGTTGTGTTAATTTCTGGCTTACAGCAAAGTGATTTACAATGTTGTGTTAATTTCTGCTGTACAGCAAAGTGATTTACAATGTTGTGTTAATTTCTGCTGTACAGCAAAGTGACTCAGTTATACACATTTTTTTTTTCATATTCTTTTCCATTATGG